GAAGTTGGGTAGCAGATCTAAGTGCTCTGACAGGAGTGTGTAACCTAAGAAGCTCATTGAGGTAGCTCGGGCCAAATTATTGATAATTTTGTATGTGAAAAGTAGTATTTTAAATTGAATACGGTATTTAACTGGCAGCCAGTGCAAGCCGAGCAAGACCAGGAGTGATGGAGAGAAAATTTCCTGCTGCATTCTGGACAGTCTGCAACCTAAGGAGAAGGGAGGAGGAAAGGCCAATGTAAAGAGAGTTGTAGTAATCCAACCTGGAGGTCACAATTGCGTGAATAAGTTTCTCCAGGTCTTTATGAGGAACATAGTGCATAGCCTTGGAAATAAAGTGCAGCTATGAAAACTACACCTCACTACAGCAGACACTTGCGTGTCGAATTTAAATGAGCTATCCAATAATATACCCAAATTACCGGCATAATCAAAGAAACGAAGGCATTTTGTCTCCAGCAAAAGACAGATGCCATCGCAATAGAGCTGCAATTGGCATGCTGACAGCAGGAATGTCAACCAGATCTGTCGCCCGTGCATTGAATGTTCATTTCTCAACCATAAGCCGTCTCCACAGGCGTTTCAGAGAATATGGCAGCACATCCAACCGGCCTCACAACCGCAGACCTCGTGTAACCACACCAGCCCAGGACCTCCACATCCAGCAGGTTCACCTCCAAGATCGTCTGAGACCAGCCACCCAGACAGCTGCTGGAACAATTGGTTTGCACAACCAAACAATTTCTGCACAAACTGTCAGAAACCGTCTCAGGGACGCTCAACTGCATGCCCGTCGTCCTCATCGGGGTCTTGACCTGACTCCAGCTCGTCGCCGTAACAGACTTGTGTGGGCAAATGCTCACATTCGATGGCGTCTGGCACGTTGGAGAGGTGTGCGCTTCACGGATGAATCATGGTTCACATTGTTCAGGGCAGATGGCAGCTGAGAATGTCCCAGTTCTTGCATGGCCAGCATACTCACCGGACATGTCACCCATTGAGCATGTTCGGGATGTGCTTGACCGGCGTATACGACAGCGTGTACCAGTTCCCACGAATATCCAACAACCTCGCACAGCCATTGAAGTGGAGTGGACCAACATTCCACAGGCCACAATTGACAATCTGATAGACTCCATGCGACGATGTGTTGCACTGCATGAGGCAAATGGTGGTCACACCAGATACTGACCGGTTCTGGGTCCCCAGACCCCCAATAGCGCAAAAAACTGCACATTCCAGGGTGGCCTTTTGTTGTGGGCAGTCTGAGGTACACCTGTGCACTACTCATGATGTCAGATCAGCATCCTGATGTGGCACACCTGTGAGGTGGGATGGATTATCTCAATATAGCAGATGTGCCCACTACCACACATTTGGACTGATTTGTGACCACTGTTTGGGAGGGATGGTTATATTGTGTATCTGGAATGAATTTTAGGTCTCTACATCCATCCCATGGGGAATGGGAGCAGTAACAAAGGTGTTGCATTTATATTTTTGTTGAGTGTAGTATTGGTGTTTTTCAGTTGATCAACTAGCTGCTTGAGAGTCAAAAGTACCACGGGCTCAACTCGATGAAAAGTTGAATTACACCCAGAGGAAAAAACAGGACAAGAAGCAGATGAAGAGGAAGACTTAAAAGATGAAACCTTATCTAAAAAGAGAATTTGAAAACGCTCACAAAGATCTTGTGAATATAGTAAAGGAATATCAGAACATGGATTAACAACAGAATTAAAAATGTTAAGTAACAAAATTTTTTACTTAAAATTTGTTACTTAAAAACAAAGTAACAAATTCTGGCTAATGGTCAAAAACAAAGTAACAAATTCTGGCTCAGCATTAGGTCATTAGCCATTCTGCTCAGTACTAATGGTTGTGACCATTAGCCAGAATGACTTTGGGAAAAAAAGATGCTTTAGCCATTCTAGCAGCAGTTTGAAAATTTGAGCGGCTAGTCCGTAACATATCATAAGAGACCTTTTTTCCACCTTCTATCATCACAGCGACAAAAACGTCGTAAGGCATGCGTAGCATTATTTAGCCAGCAATGAGAGTAGGTTCTAGAGCGCTTCATTTTGATGGGAGCAGGAGAATCAAGAATAGAAGAACAAAGAGCTAACAAGATATTACCATAACCATCAACCGAGCAGAGAGAACAGCCGTCAGGTACAGCCAAATCAGGGGTAGAAGAAAATAATGATAACAAAATATTAGCATAACCATCAGATGAGCGAATTGAGCAGCAGTCAGGAATCATAAATACCGAATCCAAAAAAGACACAGCAAACTTTGACACAGCTTCAGAGCTGAGTATATGTAGCAGACAAGAGGGAGCTACATTCTGCGGTCCCACAGCAGATAAACCAATATCAAAAATAACTGGGAAATGATCATTCCAGCATCATTTATATCCTTAATACATATATCCAGGCCATACGTAAAGAATAAGTCCAAAATATAGCCTTTAACATGGGTTGGTCCATTTACCCACTGAAGGAGGTTAAAAGAGTCAGTTAAAGCAAGAAAGTCTTTAGCAAGCAGGTCATCCTTACAACAGATGTGCATGTTAAAATCACCAATAATATGAACAGAGTCATATTTAATAATAATAATAATAATAATAATACATTTTATTCATTGGTGCCTTTCAAGTCACCCAAGGACACTTTACAATAGGATAAAACACATAATAAAACGATGACAAAATAAGAAAAATAAAACAAAAGCACAAAATAAAATGAACAAACAGTGGATTCACAGTGAATATGCAGATTTGAAAAGATGAGTTTTGAGTTGAGATTTAAACTGGTGGAGAGAACCAATGTTTCTTATTTCTGGGGGTAGAGAGTCCCACAGCCTGGGAGCAGAGCAGCTGAAAGCTCTGCTTCCCATGGTGGTGAGGCGGAAGGAAGGTACAGCAAGCTGGATAGAAGAAGAAGATCAAAGTGAAAGGGCAGAACAGGTAGGTAAGGAGGAGCGAGGTTATGAATGGCCTTGAAGGTGAGCAGAAGAAGTTTGAATATTATCCGGAATTTCACAGGGAGCCAGTGAAGTTCCTGAAGAACAGGGGCTGGAGCCGAAAAACAACACCCTGATAACAACTGTGTTTAGTCTGTTCCTTCCCATTCCATGCAAGGCCACCTGGGTTGGCTGGAAGACTGTTTACTTAGCCTGGCAGGGCGAAGGACACTGTCTCAGCTGAACTATGGACACGCACACACATACACTTACACTGATAAGCACACACTCATCCCCCTCCCTTTCCAAATGCCTTCGATGCTTGTTTCCTGCGGGGGAACACGGCAGGTCTGTGTGCCGTGCTGGAATGGTAGCGCTTTGCAGGGCGGCTGCTGTGTTCGCTTCGTATTACTCCTCACCCCCCACCCAATCCTGTGGCTTGTCATGTCTTTCACAAAGTTGTGCTGTGGACATTTATGTGCTTTTTGTGCAGAGGAGTTTTTTCATTTCCTGTTCTCGTGCTGTCCTACCATGGAAGCACAGCATGAGTAGAGGTCTCTTTTTTTCCTCTTGTACTTTCCCATTGTTGTGTACATTTCAGTGTTTTTCTGTAACGCTACCGATCTCCGACTTGTATCCCCATGTAATGTCTGTGTTGTGTGTGTAAGGTTGGGGGGGTCCCATTTCACTGCAGGTTAACCTGCATGTGGCAAATAAAGCTTTGATTGATTGATTGTGCTGGTAGGAGGGGTTCTGAACCAGTTGAAGTGGGAGGTAACAAGACTGTGGACAAGAATGAACGTAGAACGGAACCCAGGAAGTTGGCAAAGTCCGAGATAAAACACTTGTTATATTTGGGCGGTCAGTAGACCAACACACACAGAGTGGTCATCGCCAATAACTGAGCTTCAAAGCTAGCAAAGCTAGCAGGTGAGGAAAGTTGCCTATTATATAAGTTTTCAAAAACCGAGACTAAACCACCTCCCCTACCAGAAAGCCTCTGTGAACTAAAAAAGACAGTCCAAAGGAAGAAGTTCAGAGGAAGGGATGAGCTCACTAGGGCGAATCCAGGTTTCCGTAAGGAATAAAACATCATGGCTGCTAGTAGAGAAGAAGTCATTTAAAACAAAGGTCTTATTTATCAGCGACCTGACGTTAAGCAGTGCCATTCGTGGCCAGGGTAGTAAGTCACCTCTGGAAGCATGACATAGAGTACTTAGATTGCTTCGACAAACTCCCCGTTGGCACAATGTTATCGAAATCCGAGCAGGAAAGCGTGTTGCAGAAAGGGCAGAGGAGGCTTGATGATCAACCGAATAAATCCAGCGATGAGTAAGCAACTTAGCGTCAGAGCAATCCAGGGAGGAAGGAGAAAATGATGGAGTGTCCAGGTTAGCATGTACATGGTCCGTAATTCTGGCTCTGAGAAAGGCTCTGAGAAAGGCCCTGAGACAGACGCGACGGCCACTCCTTCTTCCCCGCTTCCTGTAGCATTGTAGGTAGGAGAAGCCGAAGAACGTATCCAGTTGTGGTAGATTAGCGTTGCCCACACTCCAGCAGGGGTCGGTCCGATACGAATGGAAGGAATGAAGATTCAAAAGTGTTTGCCTGTCATATGTTATCAGTGCACAACAACTAGATGAGCATCCATCCATCCATCCATCCATCCATCGTCATCCGCTTTGTCCGGGGTCGGGTCGCGGGGGCAGCAGCCTAAGCAAAGAGGCCCAGACCTCCC